AATCTCTCTTGTCCTAACACTTTCTCCCATTTCCACTATCTTACTCCACACTAACGTCATCTCATAAAAACCTGCTAAATGATTTCCTGCATTCATTGTTGGCACCCTCCCCAAATTCCTCCCAACTACAGCCAGAATGAACTATTCTAACTTCATATCTGAGGTTACCACCTGGTTTCCCCACTACTCCATATACATATGGTTAAAAAAAAGAGAAACATCAGTATATCAAAAAGATATAGTGTATCAAAATAACTCCCATGTTTATTGCAGCACTATTCACAATAGCCAAGATATGGAATCAACCTAAGTATCCAAAACAGATGGACAGATAAATAAAGTGTGATATATACACAATGAAATACTACTTAGCCATAAAAAAGAATGAAATCCTGTCATTTGAGACAATGTGGATGAGCCTGGTGGGCATTATGTTAAGTGAAATAAGCCAGGCACAGAGAGATAAATACCACATGTTCTTACTCATATGTGGAAGCTAAACAATTTGAACTCATAATAGGAGTAGAAGAGTGGTTACAGCCGGATTCGGTGGCTCTGCCTGTCATCCCGCACCTTTGGGAGGCTCAGAGGCTGCGGTGGCCGGGAGCGGCCACTGCACTCTGGTGTGGGCGACAGAGTGAGACTCCAACTCAAAAAAAAAAAAAAGAAGAGTGGTTACCAGAGGTTCTGAAGGATACAGAGGACTAGGAAGAGGCTAGTTAACATATATAAAAGTACAGCTAGAGAGGAGAAATATGTTCTAGTATTCTATGTAAGATGACTATGGTTAACAATAATTTAATGAATATTTTCAAATAGCTAGGAGAGAGGATTTTTGAACTGTTTCTAATATGAATAAATGAAAAATGTTTGAGGTGATAGATATGTTAATTACTCTGGTGCTGGAATCAGAGGCATGAGGCACCAGTGGGGCAAGGATAATTCTTATACACTGTATATGTGTATCAGTATATCACACTGTGCCTCATAAATAGGTATAATTATTATGTGTTGACCAAAAATAAAAATAATAAAAAAGAATGGTCCCAATACCCTATTCAAATAGAAAAATGTTAATGTATGGTTTTTAGGGTTTTTTCCAATTCTTTTTTTTGTAGCAAAATTATTCTACCAATTACTAGATGAGTATTAAACATGATGTTACTTAAAGACACAAGGACTTGGCAGAAAGGGCAATCTGGAAGGATACTCAAGACCACTTTAAGTATATTTTAAATTATCCACATTGAAGGTATCTGTTTCTTGATCATATAAAAATATTTTATTATGGTAATACAGTTTAAGGTATTAATCTCTAAAGCCACTAAGCCTTGCCACACATTTTCATATAAACCATAAACAGCCTCAAATACATGTCTTAATGTCCATATAATTAAAACAATAGATCTAATTCAATTTGCTTACTAAAAAATAAAACAGAGCTGGGCTCAGTGGCCCAATCCCTCGCTTTGGGAGGCTGAGGTGAGGGGACTGCCTGAGCCTGCGGGTTCGAGACCCGCCTGGGCAACTTGGCAAGACCTCTTCTCTACAATAAATCAAAAATTAGCTGGGTGTGGTAGTGCACGCCTGTAGTTCCAGCTACTCGGAAGGCTGAGGTGGAAGGATCGTCTGAGTCTGAGCCTAGCAGGTCGAGGCTGCGGTAGCCAGGAGCGGCCATTGCACTCCAGTCTGGGCGACAGAGTGAGACTCCAACTCAAAAAAAAAAAAAAGAAATAAAACAGGGCAACGAAGTATGGAAATTTTTTCTAAGATTTAAAACGGCATATGGAGCAACCCTGAAATTCTGTGGATGGTACAGCAGTACGTCTATTCAAAAGGCACTGCTGACAGTGAACCACAACTGATTCCATGAAAATTGTAGAAGCTCCTAAGTGTGTAAAGACTAACACCAAAGACAGATAAGTCAACTGTAACTGAAAAAACACACAAACAAAAAATAAAGTTATATATTTTCCTTCTCCATTTTAGAAGACAGTTAAATCAAGAGTTTCAAGTATGTTCCCAAAAAATGCTTACATTGTGATATGTTAGCATTTTCTATTTTGAGAAATGGAGTCAGAAGAATATACAGTTATAATTTCTGAAAAAAGAACATGTATAATTCATTACTACACTGAAAACTCATCTAAAATACTTAAAGGTAAAAATATTGAGCCACTACCTTCTACTCAAAACTTGATCCCTTCTTCAAATTTAGATTTTATATCTGACATTAAAAAAAAATCACTGTTTAAAGTTTCCTTAGGTCATTTTAAAAATAATAAAATGTTTCATTTTTAAAAAGTTATTTAACCCCCAGTAGACACTTGCAGTTGTAAATGATGTAAAAGTTCTTGTGTGGTGTTTTAGTCCATTTTCTGTAGCCAATAACAGTGTATCTGAAACAGGGCAATTATAAAGAAAAGGAATTTATTTCTCAGTTGTGGAGACAGAAAACTCCAAGGTCAAGGCGCCACATCTGGTGAGAGTCTTCTTGCTAGTAGAGACTCTGCAGAGTCTTGAGGTGGTACAGGGTATCACATGGCAAGTGAGCTAAGTGAGCTAACATGCTGGTCATTCTTTCTCTTCTTATAAACTACCAGTTTTACCTCCATGATAACTAACCCATTAATCCACTGACCCAACAACCCATTAATCCATGAATGGATTAATCAATCCATAAGGGCAGATCCCTTATGATCCAATCATCTCTTGAAGGCCCTACGCTGAGGATTCAATCTTTTAATACTGTCAGATTGGAGATTAAGTTTCCAATACATGAAATTTGGGGTACACATTCAAACCACAGCATGAGGCAAAAGGTACTCTTGATCTTTGTTGCTTAAGGCATGAGGCAAAAGGTACTCTTGATCTTTGTTGCTTTAATTTTTTAAAAACCATCAAATACAATTTCACAACGTAAAAAAATGCTATCTTCTGGAAGAAATCAAGAAACACGAAATCATCTCAGTCAGAGAAAAGTCATAAAATCTTTGATGTGTAAACCTATGATAATCAAGGGTTAATTATGCCATGTATTTCACAGCTAATAGGAGAGAAAGAATGTTGACCATTAAGCAAGGGAGGCTGCATATCTGACATTCGTACTGATTTGGATACAATAGGCACTGTCAATTAAAACTAATAGCAATGATGATTTTTCTTTCTTTCTTTTTTTTTTTTTGTTTGTTTTTTTTACACAGGGTCTCACTCTGCTGCCTAGATTGGAGTGCAGTGAAGCTCTCATGGCTCACTGCAGCCTCAAACTCCTGGGTTTAAGCTATCTTCCTGCCTCAGCCTCCAGAGTAGCTGGGACTACAAGCATGTGCCACATCACTCAGCTAAAGTTTTTGTTTTGTTTTTGTAGAGACAGGGTCTCATTATGTTGCCCAGACTGGTGTTGAACTCCTGGTCTCAAGTGATCCTCCTGCCTAAGACTCCCAAAATGCTGGAATTAGAGGCGTTAGACACCAGTGTTGCAATGACTTTTAGGAAAGCTAATGTTCAAAGAGTTCCGTACATCACTGATTATTCAATTTTTATCCACTTTAAAAGACTCATTCTCTTATTTAATTGCCAAGTTAGAAAGTGTTCTTTATGCAGTAACATTAATCTACCATGATTTCTGAATATTGTAATAATGCCCTAATTTAATTTTCTGCACAATGTGGTAGGTTTTTAGTTTTTTGATTTCACCACTACTCCAACCTCACCCACATCCAAGATTAGAAACTAAAGAAATTGACTTTTTTTTTTTGAGTTGGGCTCTCACTCTTGGCTGGGCATGGTGGCTCATGACTATACTCCCAGCACTTTGGGAGGCAGAGATGAGAGGACTGCCTGAACCCAGAGGGTCAAGACCAGCCTCGGCAACTTGACGATACTTCATCTCTACAACAGACCAAAAGATTAGCCGGGTGTGGTGGCGCACACCTGTAGTCCCAGCTACTTGGAAGGCTGAGGTGGACGGAGTGCCTTAGCCCAGCAGATCGAGGCTGCAGTGGCTGTGAGTGTGCCACTGCACTCCAGCCTGGGCAGCAGAGTGAGACTTCGACTCAAAAAAAAAAAAAAAGAATCACTCTGTAGCCCAGACTGGAGTGCAGTGTCACAATCGTGGCTCACTACAGCCTCTACCTCTTAGGCTCAGGTGATCCTTCTGCTTCAGTCTCCAGAGTAGCTGAGACTACAGGCATGCTGTCATCAAGCCCAACTAATTTTTTAATTTTTTGTAGAAAGGAGCTCTCATATGTGTTGCTCAGGCTGATCTTGAACTCCTGGGCTCAAGCAATCCTCCTGCCTCAGCCACACAAAGTGCTGGGATTACAGGCATGAGCCACGGTCCTGGCCTGTAAATGATGGTTCTTAAACACAGTCAGAAATAAATCCAAACATTGGGAAATACAGGTAAGAACAATCTCATAAAACCTCAATGTTGGAAGTCATCTGAGTAATTGCAGGGAGCTCTGGAAGTATCTGCCTGTAATTTAAGGACCCTCTGTGGATGTAAACTGAGAAAGACAACACTACCGGATGTACCCCACTAAATTTTCCTAGAACTTTGATCACATTCCCCTGGACAGTTCATGCATGCCTCTGTATGCAATCACAGACGCTGACCTGGAGTAGTTAAAAGGAAAACAGTTAGGACAGTATCTGTCTGAAAATACACAAGTCTGGTTTATCCACGCGAAAGCGGACCTGCAAAACTCAATGTCAAAGGGCGGACTAAGACGTGTCCACCGCAGACAATCTCTGTCCGGCTGGCTGGTATGTGCCATCGGCTTCTTCCTCAGCGACATCCGGAAGGCGACGACGGGACCCCGGGCGCCCGCACGTCGGGGTCCACCCTCTCCCCCACCTCACCTCGCTCCTCTGCTCCGCACACGGACAAACTCGCCCGCACATTCGCAGCCCAGGCGCCCGGCGGTCAGGTGTCGGGGTCGTTTCATGGCGCGTCCGGGGGCGCCGGCCCCTCGGGCCCCCGTGGCGCCCAGGCTCACCTCGAGCTTGTGGTTGATCTGGGAGACGGTCTGGGCTTTGTGGCAGAGCTGCGCGAAGCAGGAGCTCAGGCTGGTCATCTTCTGCCGCCCCTCGTAGGTGATGTCCGCCTGGTCCGGGTCGATCTCGCCCAGCAGCAGGTCCACGTCCACGAAGGCCTTGTCGAACTCCTTCTCCAGCACCTCCAGCCAGCGGAACATGGAGACCCCGCCAGC